TATTTTTCGATATCATTGAAAAACGAGCTATAACGCACGTGCAGTGCTTGATTGTGCCGTCGCCGATTAGTAGTTGCGAGAGATTAATTGTGTAACAATGAGAAAACCGTCGAAATTTAAATCGTGTTTCGGCCCGGATCATCAAGTCCACTGATCGGAACCAAAATGTGATTTTTCCCGAAAGCACGAGGGGAGAATGAGGAAAGTAAAATATCTATTCGACGATAATGAAACGAAGTCGGCGACGTGAAGAAAGAACTGGCGGTATTTTGCTGATTATTGTTCCCCAATCGATCAACCATATGTTTTTATCAATGTGATATGCTAGAACGATAGAGGCGCGAATCGACGTTAATCCGGGAACAATCGTAAAGACGGCCCTTAGATACTATTATTGTTCAATTATTTTGTGTATGTGGCTTTGTTCTTTTTAGCTCAACTTTTTGCACGGTTCATTTTTCTTTCATTTCTCTTCACATTAGAAAAAAAAAAGGAGGAAAGATGCCCTGCAAAAAACTCGACTAAAAAGAACAGGCCTAAATTATTTATGAATCCTTTAAATAATTCAAAACAGTCTCGGATTCAATATAGATCAATAATAGTTGCTTTCCATTTTCACACAAGCGATATCGAGTCTAAAGTTATGTGTCACTACTTGTTTACTTTGATGACAAAGTTATCGCATAACAACACAGTTTATAAACTCACTAATGTGAGTTAACAAAACTCATTGTCAGTAAAACACACAACTAAGTGCAGATTGTACATGAAAACTCGATTGACTCTCACTTGTCACAAAATGAAAAGGAATGTGCAACAACTGAGTTATAATGTCACAAATTATTTGAGTTTTGGTAAATGGAAAACAACTAATATTGTACAATATCTCATTCTGCAATAATATATTGATCATCTAAGGGTCGTTTAATAGCGAAAAGGCATCTCTATTTATTGAACATTAATTGCCTATATTATACGGCGGAGCGTGCGACGACGACGAAGAGGAAATTGAAGCCGGAAGATCAGCGGAGTTTTGGAATCCCTCTCGTACAGTCTTGTCATTACCTTCCCCATATACTTTTTTTTCGATATTTCCTTCGGGCGTGAATGTTCCATATTTTGTATACGGTATGCTTGTAAATTCCGCGGTCGACATCGAGGCCTTTACAGAAATCCAATTAATATCTACTGAAAAATAATGATTATTTATTTATTTTGAGTAAAAACATTGTTCTCGGTGCTTAATAAGTAATTAATCACTACACCTTCTAATATTATAATATGATACATTTCTATAAAGAGGGACTCGACTGAGCGCACAAAGTGCAAACGTAAGATCAATGACATTGATTAACGCGTTCAGATACGACCGTAAATAGCAATAAAACGTTCCAAATCGTCGTCGCTGAGCTCCGATATCCTTTAAAGGACGATGTTTACCAGCAACATCGCAGTCGCGTCGCTGTAAAATACCGAGAGTGCCTGTTTGTAACGACGAAGTCATGTGCGTTTCTCGACCGCGGTCGGCGAAAGATATGGGGATGCTGCACCGTGTAAATACGTTGTCTTCTATTGTTAACTAACGAGTGCCCGCGATTTCCGCGATCAACGACGAGGTCTCGACACGATTCCAGATTTAACACACTCTCTCTAAATTCTTCGCAATGGAATCTCACTCTTAAAGAGTGAAAACTGAATCAGTCTTGAAAAAGAGTGACTCAATTTTCAATAGTTTTAAGAGTGACATTTCACTCTTCAGAGTGAGATTCGCTTTAAACATTTTTGAGAATACATAAATCCAAATACATACATACAAATACAACACACACACATACAGAATCTCGATTACTCGCACTTTTGCCTCGCTCGCCTCAAACGATCACGATAATGCGATGCGATCGCGAGAGAGTCGACACGTTACAAACAATTTGTAAATATACAATCGCACCTTTTTGCCAAAAAGCAGTTACGAGGACCGCCGGAGCGTCGGCCGGAGAAGGAACGACACTCTTATTCCCTTTCTGCCCCGCTCCCTCTTCCCTCTTCCACTTCTACTCTCCTCAATTGTGCCCCCGCGAAATCGTTTCGCGCGCGTTTCGACTACAGTTCCTATGCACTATACTAACGGTAAAGCGACTTAGAGGCGAGAATCGATGACCCGTCGTCCGATTTACAATTAAAAAAAAAACCAGCCGTAATTCCAATCGAATAAGCTTGGTTCTCCTTTCTCCGGCGCTGCTCGGAGATGTAAGTATTTAGATTCTAAGGGACATATCTACAGCGCGTGTAGTGTACTTGTATATGAATACCGATAAATAAATATTTTCAATGTTTTTGACACAAAGCCCCTCTCCTAGTTCTTTGACTTCCTGGCGCTTCCCTTTCTTCTTCTCTTCAGTAATTCGGCAAAAAAGAAATGTCATGTTACGCTTTTACAATAAATTATATATATATATATACATAT